CAAGGTAACGGAATCCATACTCAATTCGTAAATAATCRTTATTTAACCATAATCATTATCGCAATCATTACAATCGTAATCGTACAATCATAACGATAAAATAATTCATTGATTGATATCATTGGTCTGGTCTTTATCTATCATGTAGACTTTGACGAGTGCTTAGACAATCCATGCAAGAACGAAGGAAAKTGTACCAACACCGTTGGCAGCTACGCATGTAATTGTACAGCTGGATGGAAGGGACAAGACTGTCAGTTAGGTAGCTTTCCGCACTTAACTTTTATTAACTGTTGTCGCTAGTCAGTCTCTTTRYGYGGCAACAGGAGCGCAAAGGAGTATGGGTGAATAATAATAATGAAGGTGCATCTTGGTAACAATGAGGGGGGAAGGGACAAAATTTTCGATCCTTAAACAGTTTTTATAGGTATGACACCAATAGCTGTATATTACTGTTTCTTGATGCTTTTTTAACTATTAGATTTGGATGAATGTCTTGCCGGTCCATGCAAGAATAACGGAACGTGTCATAATAATATTGGTAACTACACCTGTACTTGTCCACCTGAATGGCTTGGTGACACCTGTGAAGGTAAGTGAAGTGTTTTACGTTGAAAGGTTGTAGAAACACTGTAAAAATAAACGGACTTTTTCATGCGTTGAATGGTCTTCTTGGCAGCCTGCTTTAAGATTATGGCTGATAAACATACAATGATAGCCCAATAAAATGACCGCTCGCCAACATAGATGGCTTCATAGCTAAGTTGGTAGAACACTATATCGGCATCGCAGAGGTCATGGATTAGATTCCCGCTGAAGCCCGACATGTTTTCGGGCGAACCATACATTTCTTAATAACCGTTTAGATTATAATAATGAGTTTCTGTTGTATAAACTATGATGATATATTATCACTGTAATATATGTTTTACCGTCCAGATGCGAATTTGTGCATTCCAAGTCCGTGCAAAAATGGCGGCACATGCAACAGTACTATTGGCAACTACACATGCACATGTAAACCTGGTTGGAAAGGACGAGACTGCGGCATTGGTGAGAATAAGGCAGCACATRCGAACATCCCATTTTAGGGACACTTACATGAATAACCGCTCCAATGACAGCTGCTGATTGCGGGCACAAAATGACGGTCCCGAAGATCTTCAGTTTAAATAATAATTCGCATTGCTGTAGGCCCTTGTTATTGCGGACACTATTCACAGTCACGAAGGTGTTCGTTGTAACGAGAGTTAACTGCATTTCTTAAGCTCAACAGTTCAAATCATGTATATTGAGATTGACATTTAGTTCGAATAATTTCAGATGTCGATGAATGTCTTCATAGTCTATGTAAGAATCAAGGAAGATGTGTGAACACTGATGGTAGCTACAAATGTGCTTGTAAAACAAGCTGGCATGGAAAATTCTGCGAAAAAGGTACGCGCGCAAACTGATGCGTTAGCTTTTCGTTGCGTTTCAGTATTGTTTGCCGCCCCCTTCATACAAAAAAGCTACGAAAATTTATCTCTCCATTCATTCTTGTAAACATTGGTACGTTTTTGGTTGCGTTTACGTATTGAGTTCCTGCCTTTCTTGACATATTGTCTTGTAGATACGGACGAGTGTCTACAGCAGCCGTGTTTCAATCAGGGAGCATGCACGAACACGGTTGGTGGGTAYATTTGTTCTTGCTCTGAAGGATGGACAGGAACAAACTGCAATGAAGGTAAACAGCTTGATTGATTGCTTTTTAAATAGGTAGAAACTAGCGGGTAAACTAGTGTGAGCTGCGTCAGTGTTTTCTATTTTTAACACAACTGCTTTCAGTCGATCTACCAAATCTACCCTCGTACCTTTGCTTTGTAACATTGTGAGCACTTGTTTCACCATTATTGATAATACCTGATATTTCAGATATCAACGAATGTGATGAAGGCGTATGCAAGAACTCACTCAATTGTTCAAATACGAATGGAAGTTACCAGTGTCTGTGCGCGGCTGGATGGGCTGGGAAGGATTGCGATCAAGGTCAGCAATCGCAACTATATCAGTGTAGCTATAACAACAGCAGCAACTTCCTACAACAACAACAACAACAACAACAACAACAACACGAATTACAACAGCAATAAGAATAACAAGTACAACAATAACAGCGAAAACTCCCTACTACAACAACTCCCTACTAGCGCTACAACAACAAGAATAGCAACAACTACAACAAGAACAACCACTGCTACTGCTACAACAACAACTTATCGTGCTGTATTTGATAACATTTAATCATATGATTTCATTAATACTACAGAAATACAAGTGGAAGGCTCAAACGCCATCATCTTCTTGTTTGTACCGTTTGTCATCCTTGCAATTGGATCGATTKTTCTGGCACGGAAAATTCTCCTGTCCAAGAAAGGCAAAGAACAAGAGAAACCAAAAACAGAAAAGATCCCCGAAAAACCACATCCAAAAGTTGATAAAGAAAAAATCGTATATGTAACGGATCCGTATCGAGCGGAACCAGTATTTTATGAACCAYCATATGAATCAAGCCAGGACAGTTATGACAGTGAATTTGACAGTGAAGAAGATGACGATCAAGTTTATCGTGCTGCTTATCAAGATTACTTTGAAGAACATGCAAATAGTGAACTGGAMGAACCAGTTACACAACGTTCATTTGAAAAGCATTCTGACGATGAGCMGGAAAAAYCAATTCGACAACATTCATTTAAAACGTATAATGTTCAGGAATATTCCAACAAAGATAAGAAAGATGAAACAGAAGAATTTGATCATCCGCTTTCATTTAAGGATCTCAGGAAGAAATTTGAGCCAGAAAAACAGGTTGTAAAACCTGATAAGAAAGTAGAAAAACCTGAAAAACAGGTTTTTGATAAAACTACACCACAAGGTACTTATCACGCTTTAAGTGAACATGAAGAATATGAAGAACCAGAATTTTACAACCCGGCAGCAATATTTGATCCTACGTATTTAGGAGGAGATAACGTAGGGAAGGCATACCTAATAAAAGCAAAAGACAAGGAAGAAGACCACACAAGCTACACGGACTGGAAACAACGACAAGACAACTCAACTGATTTTGCTCTTTTGGAAAGTTTCAAAACTGCTGCGAAAATGAAACAAAAACTTCAGTATAAAAACATTATTTACCAAGCTRTAAGCGAAAAATACCAAGAACCCGAATAYTACAATCCCAYAGCAGTTTTTGATCCTGYAAGYTCCACAATTGATGAAGAAAGATTAGGTCAAGATTACATGGATAAAATTGGTGAGGGAKYTGAGTATAGTAGCTATTCGGATTGGAAAGRAGAAAGCACCCATCGGGCTCCTTTGCCTAAGAGTTTTACTCAGGCAGCTTCAGACAGGAGATCATTGAAGCGAAAACCAATAACCTATCAACCAATCAGTGAAAGAGACGAGTATTTTGAGCCAAGTTATTATTACCCAGAGGAATTKTCTGATCCCGCAAGTTTTGACTATGGTGGAGAACCCCAGGAACAACCGTATTTGAGAAATGTTGATGCTGGTGGACAATACTMTCACCATACAGATTACTGGACACAAAGAGAGGAGACTCTAAGTGAKGTYCCTCTTTTAGATAGCTTTACCAAAGCAGCTTCAAGGAAGAAGCTCAAACGTAGAGCTYTGGCATATCAGACTTTAAGCGAAGACACAGYTTATGTCGAACCGGGATATTATAATCCAAYGCAAATATATGATCCGGAAAGTTCCAGCTTGGTGGAGAACCCAATGGAACGAAGCTATATGCAAGATATCACATGTGAAGACAAGGAGTATACCATGAACTCACATAAGATGCTTTCACAAGAACAAGGAGATAGCACCCCGATTCTGGAAAGKTTCACAAAAGCTGCCAAGACACGCAAGCAAAAACATAAATCGAAACTAAAAGTTGATTTTGAAGAACCTGTTTCAAGCTATCAAGAACATTTCGATTATCACCAACCAACTGAACTCTATGATGCTTCATCTTCAATGATGCCAGAGGAGTCTACAGGAAGAACTTACATGCAAAGCCAATCAGAAGTACAGGAGCACTCATATTCTTCTTCTATTCCTCTATTACAAACCTTTTCCTTGTCTGCATCAAAAAAGAAAGCAGGCAAAAGTCATGAAGTGAGTGATAGGACACAGTGGGAATCACAGAGAACTGTTGTCGAAGGYAGTTATGAGAGAAGGGAAATGGATGATGAGAGGGTATTGGATGTACCTCTAGAAATGCCTCAAGATCTGGACACTATGGCTACAACACCTGACAGAGGTATGCCTGATTAAAACCAAAGTTAATAACTAAATATTTAAGTGAAGAGAATAAATCTGGGTCATATTACTAAATAGTACTTACTCAAACCTTTTTTTACTACGTCTAATCAACACGTAATTCATACCATTTTATTGCTATATTGTTTGCACAGTCTTATCCACCTCATCATCATTGCCATCTCACCTTCATCTCACTTCTTCATCCTGATACACTCACAGGTCTCCTGACTGATGCTGTCAAAAGAAGGAGAAAAGGACAGCACACAAGAAAGGCTAGTTAATCAAAAGAACTACAGTCATGACAGTTTCTGAGATTTCATTCTTAATCRCTTATAATTCCTTTGATGAAACATTTACACAAGAAGAGTGTCTCTGTGTTTCTGCTCGACTGCCAATGGTGCAACATAATGTTCCTTGGGATGGAATATAATCACAACTATTTCATTAAACRTTCAGTRCTGAATACTGCATTAGAAACTGTGAAGTTAGAAATTGCATGTAATGCCATGTAAGCCGAATTACTTAACAGCAATTCTATACTCTATTGCTTTCTCATAGAGGCATGGAGCTGGAATAGTCACTAGAAACAGTGAAGTCCTCTTTCTAAAGTAGTGTGGTAACAGGAAAACCAACAATACCTTTGCATAATCATAATTCAAGATATTTAGAAATAATACAACAAAATGCAATGACATAATTAAAACGATTTTATTGTTAAAACTCATGTGGATACAACTTTGTAATGAGAAATCCTACCAAATAATAGAAATTAACATACACTCATAAAAACATTGACTATAATAATGATATGCATATACTGAAAAAAGAACATTTTGTAATAAAATTTTCTTTTTTGAATTATATGTCTTTATTTCAAGTCAATGTTTCTGCAAACAAGTTTATTCCACATTCTATAAATAATTGCCCATTATTCTAAAATTATACCCTTAAATATAATTCTGTTTAACACTATTCTATGTTCCCCTTTCTGTTCTATGAGTTACAATGTTCTGTTTATATCACTGGTACGTGTTCTCTATAACCCAGATTCCTTAACATTTTTTACAATTGAATAAAGAGTGTACATTTAGGCCGGGCTCATGACAAGATAAGAAAGCATTACAACCTTACTATATACCTTAAARTGTAATTATTATTTCTTTGTGAACATTAAAACACAAAAGAAATRAAAACTATTTCCATTATGCTTTCATTATACGTTGCAGCCGTGCTGATACACCTTTATGTCAATAGCGTAAACCATTATGTCACAGATATTAAAACAAATCAAGCTTTTCAACTGATGAAGGATGTATATAGGAATCATGAATCTTTTTAAAAGTGTATCAACTACAAACTCTTAGATTGATATAGTTATTGATCATATTCAATTTCTCCAGTTATGTACAATTATTAGGCATTGTATGTATGTCGTCTTTCTTGAAGTCNATGTAAGATCTTGTGTAAGTTTTTCAAGTTAAACAATCATCAAAACAAATTTTAATAAAGAATTAAAATGCTTCATACACAATATAGATTTTGTACAGAGTTCAGTAAAGCACGTACACGTGCAGTTTTCAAGTCCAAACACATGTCGTCAGCTTAGAAAATGGCATCAATATTTTTCAGATGAGGTTTGATATGTTTTAGTCCATCGAATAATTATTCTTGTGTCAAAGTATCAACCTTAAATATTCATGCGATTTCTTACTTTTCGAGGATTTTGTGATTGACATCGAGCACTTGTTGTGGCGACGTTTAGTGTTCTTCGTGTCGGCGGTAGAAAAATTCAAAATGCCCAGTCATTTCTGCACGAATCATCCGACAACCTTGAATTATATACCTTATTCCATGTCATTTGGATGTTATTCAGTTGATTTTGTTGGATTTTCAGCTCTTTAGAGTATTTTAGCTACATTTTAGACCCATTTAAAACGAGACAACTTTTTGCCGCCGTCTGTCAGCCATTTTGTTTTAAGTGACTTTGGGTCTCCTGTGTTATCAGGCCACGTGACCATTTTTAAGTTCGTAAAGCATCATGGGGGACTATACGCGACGTTGATAGATTGAACAGAAGGTAGAACAAAACATGTGCTTCCACAGGAAGCCCATGTAAAAAGGAAATATTTCCTTTTGAACACGAAAATTTCATCAACACTACATGTATAAATCTAAATTAAAATCTCGGCTAATTTTTAACCTCGTCAAAGACAGAAGAATAGAGTCTTTGTTTTGTAAATACCTTTTAATAATTGTAGTAGGCAAGTTGGATGTCTTGTTCGTATTTGTTCTCTTTATCAGTAAGTTGYACCATGAAGAAAGTGTCCGTGTGATAGTCRTTCTTAYGGATCCAATCATTTTCGCTCGGTTTCCATCCCATATTCAGTACAGCGCTTACACTGTACATACCATGTACTGGAGGCTTAGGGCACTTGAATTCATATCTCAAACCAGTGACGTTCTGGTTTTTAGTCAATTCCATTTTCAGTGAGGCTATGATRTGCGATGAAGAGTCCATAATACTAGAATCCTCAAAATCGACCTTCAAATGCGAGTTCGGTGGAAAAGCCTTAGGAATGTTACCTTGAGGGAACAGGATCCTTCCTTTCAATGTCATCTCGACTTTCTCTATTTTCTTTGCTTTCTTTCGCTGTGCAACAGGCTTTGRAGGATTCTCGGTTGTTTTATCTTCGCCTCTGACATGTTTGAKGGGTATTTCTGTGGCGTTTTCAGCATTTAAGTGATCCACATCAGGAGCAATGACGGCATCGTTGAGTCTTCTCTGGTCCTCGCAATGAAAGAAGCATCCAAAACTATCGGTTGAATGGATCGTTATGAAGATAAAAAGCCCAAGAACCAGCAACAAAGACACAAACAACAAAGGCAGAAGCCAGTAGGGCCATCGAAACGTTTTTACTTCGAGAGTGGGATCGAGAAATTTCGAGTATTTCTTCGCCATTTTTCGTTCGTTGTTTAACATATTGCGCTCTAAGCAGCTAATTTATGCATGCAGCTGTAATAYTCTATTGGCCAATCACAACCGAAAACATAAGTACTTGAAAGAAGCTACAATTATTTACTATGGGAGGGGAGGGACAGTGGTCCTAAAAAAGGAAAAAAAAAGACACAGAGAATTACATAAGAAAGAGGAAAGAAAAGGAGTGAGAGGACAAATAATGTAACAAAAAATCGTTATTTTGCAAACATTTCAATATTAAAATAATGGTCATTATAATAATTAGCATGACGTCATATGTATTTAAAGACCATTAGCTCGGGCTTCCTGTGTGTACTTTCTGCAGAATACAGCTCAAAGTTCCTGTGAGTCATTATATTTTAGGTAAAATTAACTGTTTCTGTAGTCTAAAATGCTTGAAGAACATCTAATATGTTATACAAAACATGTTTATATCAATAAGATGTGTTTTTAACCTTTAAGCTAAGTGTAAAGATCCGTCATGGGCTGGCCTCATCCAAGTTTGATATGGTCTCTTGTGTTTGTGTTAGCTGCTGTTGTGCTTTTAGCTCTAGTGGCGCTTCTTGGCTATGCATTGTACCTTTCGTATCTCAGGAAAAAGTATGCTCACATTCCAGGTCCTCCAATCACTGGGTAAGAACAGTTCTACGTATATCGATGTAGATGTCCTGTTATATTATATGATTTAATCAGTAAACGTGGATATGTTTAGTTATTGCATCAGGTGATGGATAACATCGTTTCTTAAAGGAAAATATCAGCTTTGCAGTCAAAATTGTCTAAAAGAGAGTTAAAGAACTAGGTCAGGCAATCAATCTTTGATTTAATGAAGTCCAATTTCTTGTAGTTTTCTCAGACAATTACAATCATATATAATTTAAAAACTTTTGAAATCCTAGCTCCTTATTTGTATAACCTTATCAGAAAAATCTTAGTTTACATTCCAAAGTATCCATAGTTAAGACCTGGACTGGATGTATTAGTATTT